AAAGAATGTCTCCTTTAGGGGAGCGCTTGACATCGCCCTCCTCGGAGCGCTTTCCCCAGCCAGCCGCGTTGTTGTAGAGGATGTCGCCCTTGGGGGCGCGCTTGGCCGCATCACTCTCCTCGGAGCGCTTTCCCCAACCGGCCTGGTTGTTGTAAAGAATGTCTCCCTTGGGGGAGCGCTTGGTCGCATCGGAATCTTCAGCGCGCTTTCCCCAACCAGCTGCGTTGTTGTAGAGAATATCGCCCTTGGGGGCGCGCGTATCAACGTCGACGGGTGCGGCAAGGGCGGCGCCGAAAAGAGCAAAGGCGACAGGAATGATGAACTTCATTTTGAATAAAAACGTGAGTAAATGTTGTTTTGATTTCGCTGCTGATATAGCTTGTAGAGTGCTGCGTCAGAACTGATTACATGTATGGCGGACATGTTTGATATGTATTTGAGCAGATAGTCACCCCACGGCATAAGCATGCTCAGGCTTCCCACATCCCGCACCAGTAGCGCCACTCTGCCGGTCGCCTTCCCTTTTCCAATGTTACATTCAATCTATCATGTTGTCGTTCTTGTATGAGAGATATGAAGCCCGGTGGTTGCTGGTTTGGGAACAGGTCAGACAGCAGTTTCAGCAGGTAGACCTGCATCCGCCGCTTTGGCTTCGCCCCGCCAATCATTCTTCCGCGTTGCCATCATCATTCAGCTTTAAAGTAAAAGAGACAACGGTCACTTGGTGGATCTTCTGGTGGCTTTGAGGTCCAGTGTGACGTGAAATCGAGGGAGCATGAGGCATTGACGCCATGGCATGGCGAGAAGAGAAAGTTGAACCCACTCAGCAGTGTGTACATACCCCTGTAGTATTTGAAATGGAGCTTTATGTATCACGGAAATCAATGGCTCACATACCTGGGGATTTTGAAATCGCTGCTGAAGACAGGCCGTGTAAGTCGAGGCGCCGTGGGGGTAGGGTGGGGGGGCTCCAGTGACAATCTCCAAGTTCTTACCTACAATCAAGCCCAGGCTATATATTGCTCATCGTCCCACCGTATATGATTCATGTACGAGATAGAAAGCGTTTTGACCAATACCTAGGCACGATAGACACCGCTTGCTCCCCCGCATGGGTTTGAGGCTGAGGTAGCGCCTCCCTGCAGGGCTGGCCGCCTCCTTCGGCTGACGACAGCACGACATGCAAGTCGACGTTCGTTTAGCGATAGTAAGGTGGCATCATGGAAAACGCCATAATGTAACATTGTGAGCTATCCAGTATGGGATGGAGTGGTGGCTAGAGGGGCATTTCTTACACAGTGCGCGGTGCTTACCAGAGGCAACCCTCACAGCACGCGATCATGCCCCTGCTTACACGGACTACTCGCAATCAGAAAGCGACGTCAGCACCACCCCAAGATTGTTGTAGTATGGCATTTACTACAAGGTATACTTGAGACGCAGCAGAATTGGCCTTGCAGATTTTCTGATTATGGAATACAAGTTGGCAGAACGGACCTCTGACGAGGCGCCCTTTCTACAGAATGAAGAAAAAGACAGGTTCGAGCTGCCATTTCGACCAAGACGGCAAGAGAGATGGGCCAACATGCTGCCTTATTCTGTCGTCTTGAACGTGGGCTTGCTGTTGGCGCTTTTTGCAGTATGGAACTTGGCAAGACACGACCCTAGAAAGCACTACATTCCGGACGAGGTCTACAGTAAGCCATATATACCACTGATTTCAGAAAATCACGTACTAAATACTCGAAGCGCCTGCACAGTCAGTAGTCGAGTATCACAACATACTCTTCACCGGTGGTCTGAAAGGAGATACGTCAAAGTACCTCGGCTCTACGCCATCGGTTGACGAAGCGTGGGACAATCTCTACAACAGTATGTTGTAGACAAGGAGCAAAAGACTCGAAGTGATCTAATCTGCGTCCATTTTAGAAACTCTCATCTCGCAAATCCTACCAGAGGCGGCCGCCCATCTTGTCAATGCCACGACTCGGTTTTCCAACGACACCGACTACCACATCGTGGAGCTCGACGTGTTTCACCAGCTGCATTGCCTCAACATGATGCGCAAGCTGGTATACCCAAACGCCTACCCGATGGACCTGACATCGGGCTCGGACGAGGCGCAAGACAACATCTTCCACATGGAGCACTGCTACGAGCAGCTGCGACAGTCGCTTCAGTGCACGTCGGACCTGTCCACCATTACGTGGCAGTGGAGCAGGAAGCAGCAGCGGTTTATTGGAAACGTGCACACGATGCATACTTGCAAGAATTTTGACAAGATCCACGAGTGGGCGGTTGAGAATACGGCGGCGCAGGATCTCGACTTTTTCGAGTTTGTAGAGGGAGCGCCAATCTTCCAGAACGAGTAGAAGGGCTTCGACTACAATCATCATGAATAGAGCATAATCAGAGTCCCGTGTGACGCAACAATACTTACATCCGTCGTTCAATTTCGCTGTCCCATCATCTGCCCTAATTCTCTATCTCGCACACTTGGGATATTTGACAAAAATCTTGGTACCCGAGTCCTTCATGCCCTCGGGGTGTCCGCCAATCATCTTGACGCAGTGGCTCGTATGGTGGTAGTTGGCCGTGTACGTGTCCAGCTCCTGCGTCGGATCCAGGAGGATCCTGTGCAGCCGCTTCCAGACGTACATGCAGTGCGTGACGTGCCAGTCAAACGTCGTGTCAAAGTAGCCGTAGTCGCCCGCGCCGAGCTCCCCGACCGTCATGTTGCGGGCTCCCCCCGCCGCGGCCGTCGCGAACGGCCAGCGGCGGTCCCGGTACATGTCGCGCGCGTCCTCGTCGTCGGCCGCCGTCAGGCACGACGCCGGCAGCCACGCGTGCAGCACGATGCTGTACCGGCAGCCGCGCGCGCGCGCGTCGTCGGCCGAGTTGCCGCAGTCGCCGTGCGACCACGCCAGCGGCAGACCGGTCGCCGGGTCGGTGCCGTTGCGCGCATGGGGGAGGATGCGGGCGCGCGCGTGGGAAGACGCTGCGAGGGCGGAGTAGAGGGAGAAGAGCACGCTCATGGTCGCCAGCCCGAGGACAAAGCCGATGACGGCTGGGAGCCAGCGCCGCGGTCGTGGCGCCGGTTGTTGGTACTCGGTCTCGTCCTCTCCGGCACTGTCGTCGACTTGCTTGTATTCAATCTTGTTGGCCATTCTCGATTTTTTTTTTCCTTCAAAAGATCCTCGATGTTTGGTATTTTATCTTTTTCCTCCTCACGGAAATCAAATACACCAGAATTACATACCGCTCAGTGCCTCACTCGTCACGGCAATGAGCGACATCATTACTAGGTGAACTACCCACAGCATCAAAAGCCGCCATGTTCACACTGTGTTACTGACGTCGACCGGATCGTTACAACGGCAGCCTTGGCTTGCAGGTGGGCTGAGCAAGGGTTGGCAAGTTCACCGTAGGGCTTACTCACAGCTTCGGCGCTGACTCGATTGGGATCTTACGTGCCCAGCTAGACTAACTCCTCACCGGCGCTCTTTCCCCGCACCGGAGCCATGACGACGTGAGGGGATTGTTGACAATAGCTGGGAATTCTTTTGATAACCATTGGCGTCAGTCTCGGGGCGTAAAAGGGCGAGACTGTTGAGGGGCTTTTTCGGGGACGCGGGGTCTCTCACCAAGATCAAATCTTGTCGGGCGTCACCAGTCGCCGAGACGTTCCAGCCGCATACGACCCCATTCTTCTTTGTTCGTTGGACGCAAACCCACGGGAGACTGTGGCTTGCACGGCAACCTGGAGGGTGGTGACACACTCGCCATGCAGGACCTTGGCAGACCATGGCCGTGGGTTGGTGACCACGACATCAAGCATGCCAAGAAAACTCAGGACGAAGTCTTCGGTCCGTACACCGAGCGATTCTTCTCCCGGCCCTACTTTACTTCAAGACGTTTGAGGCTTTGTCGAGGCTGCAGCTGTGGCTGCTGAAAGAAGTCGAAGCTGGTGGCTCTTACAGTCCGTGAGGACGTAGTATTAGTATAGTACAACAAAGCCATTCACACGCACAATTACAGCCAATGAGAAGACGTAATATTGAGTGCCCGATAACAGACAAAAGAAAGCTTGGCTGAGATCCGAACGACTGCCCAAGGGCCCGTCAGTGTGGCAACGCCATCTATTCATAGCTCTCTTTACGTACGACGATTCTCCGCCCTGGGGCTGAACAAGGAGCAAACAGGTTCCTTGCATGTCATGTCTGTCCATCCGATTATTGAGTCTATTCTTTTTCTTTTCCCCAGCAACTACCATCCCCCGCGTTGACGATGGCTCAGATCGCATCTCAGTTCCCCAAGCTACGAGTCAGGCAACGGCAGATGGCACCCACACTAAAGCCAAAAAAAAAAATTAAAAAATAACAATAGAGCTCACGACATGGTGTCTTTTTAATTGGCCTCTAGTTTGTCCCAATTTCTCGGAGCCGTGCTGTGATTCGCTCCCGGGTGTGTGGCGCGGCGCCGATGCGGCAGGGGTGGTATTTCCTAATCGGGGTATCAATAGAATAGTTTGAACCATTTGTCGAGCCGCCATGCCAGCCACGACTCCCACAGGGCTGCAGAGCCGCCACCATGCTAGTAGTCCTCTCGGCCTGGACATGATTCAGTTCGTCTTGAAGATGAACTGACATCAAACTCTCCGCAGGGCCAACTGCCGTTGCCACGCCGGCCGTCGGTTGGCGAGCGGAGACCAACTGCCCACAGCTGCTGCCCACAGGCGGGTATCTTATTCACCTTTTCATTGAGTCTGGACTTGGTCTAGACTCGTCTTGCTTTCCCTTCTTCTTTGATCCCTTTCGGCTCTCGTGATTGAACTTGTCCCACAAAGGCGGAGTTTGTATAGGCATCGCTGATCTGTCTCTGCAGCATCTCCAGACTATAAACACCGAGACGAATCCCCGCAGTTTGCATCATTCTATCCCTCCAGACACAGCTCTCCTAGTCTTCTCTTCGTTTGCTCCCTATTTTCTTCCTTGCCCCAAGTTTCAATCCCTCGAATCTTTGCCATCTTTGCAGGCTCAAAGTTTCCACTGCCCCTCCCCCAAACACCCAACCAACAAACAACCTCCAAAACATCCCTCTTTCCATCATGAAGTTTGAATTCGCCGCTCTTCTCGCCCTCGCGGCCACTGGCCTCGCTGCTCCCCGTCCCTGGTGCACGAGACCCGGCGAGCCGTGCTGGAAGCTCAAGCGCGCTGTCGAAGCCGTCGACGCCCACGCCGAGGCCGAGGCCGCCGCCGCCGCCGCCCGTGGCACGACCGACGGCATGGGCCTCATCGCCTCGGTTGCCTACGACCGTCTTGTCGAGCTCGCCGCCCAGGGCTCGCCCGACCCCGCTGCCTTTTACGAGCAGCACCGCATCCAGAAGAGCAAGCGGGACGTCGAGGCCGCCGCCGCCATCGAGAAGCGCTGGTGCATGAGACCTGGCGAGCCTTGCTGGAAGCGCGCCGTCGAGGAGCAGGACGAGCTCTCCAAGCGCTGGTGCCTGAGACCTGGCCAGCCTTGCTGGAAGGCCAAGCGCGCCGCCGAGTCGGTCCTGGAAGCTGGACAGGAAGAGAGCACGGAGGAGTGTGGTGAGGGCGACGAGCAGTGCTCCAATGCCAAGAGAAGCCTCGATAACCTTCACCAAGTCGCCCGCGCCATTGTCGAAGCCTTTTAAGTGGTATGATCTCCTTCTTTTCTGGGCACCGTCAGCCTGGTTGTTGTCATTTCGTGAACTAACAGTCGTCTAGGACAGTTGTTATCTCTCGCACGCTTCAAGAGAGTGCTCACCACTCACACTCTGGGGAGATTAGCTAGCTTTGGAATTGACCCTGGTTGGTCGTCTTCTCTTCGATATTTTTGACACTTTTGTGTACTTCTACATACGATGGCGGGTCATGGGTCACGGTAACATGTCCGTTCTTTATTTTTGTAATCAGCTATCGTTCCGAATTTCAGTAGCGATAGCGGTAACTAGCGGCGATGATTGGTCATTTTTTAGGTCACGGTATAACGCAAATGAGCAAATGCAATACACAATTATTATACTCCCGAATAGTAAACGACTAGTGTCCTGAAAGTGGTAGTGGTGTATGCGCGTCGCGGTGCCAGTGCCAAGTGTTGTCTGCATTCGACCTTCAGATGCTGACTGGGATTGTCTGGGGTACTCTACATTGCAGCATCGCAGAGCATCTGTATGGCTCTCTCCGCGGCACTACTGGTCGTCGCTCGAAGGTGACGTTATTATGGTGTTTCAGTTGTCGATTGTGTAACTATGGTCTCCCTTTACGATCGTCTCGAGAGCCGTCTAGAATACCGCACATGGTGTAGCCGTCGCGCAGCTTCCGTCGAGATGTAGTCTACACGTGTTGTAGGTATCGAATTAACAATCGGCGCAAAGGTGTAGGCATGTACGTTCAATCATTGCGGTCCTTCCCATCGGCCTGTGGCCGGGTAGCACCGCACCCAAGATTGCTCGCTTTCTTCTCCGTCTTGTGTTCCTCGCGATCCTAGAAGGTCTTGGATAGCAACAGAGTTGCCACCTCACACCAGGCATGTATCAGGGGAGCATAGACGTTGTTGTTTGCGTTGTTCAATATTGAAGAAGAAGAAAGAAAAGTGGAAAAAGAGAGTTGAAATTTTTGCCTTCTTATTGCGGGTGGATTTTCAATGTGGGGCACAATTGAGCCATGGTGATTGGCCGCGTCTTGTTTGGTGAAATGGTTGGGTACGAGGAGAGTTACCTTGCCAATGGCATACAATATACGGATACAATAGTTACGTTTTGCCTGGTCAGAATCCCTCAATATCTTCGAAATGGCATACATAGTAGAGAGGGGGGGGAATACTTCAACTTCCCAACACCACTCTCGAACCGAGTCACCACGGACCAAGGCAACCCACTAGCAATCAACTCGACAACTCGGGTAGTAGATGGGTGGGCGTCGCAAAGGATTTTTTTCACAAGTTGACCTTTCTTGTTGTTTTGTTTGCAATGCTGGAACCGAGACTTGTCTCATGCACTCGTTGCAGACGGATGGAGATGGTTGCAGCTGGATGGATCTGCAATGTAGCTCCCGCAGCGGCTGTTTGACTCTAGCTGGCCCGGCACATTTATATAATATATGTATAACCGATTTTTTAAATAAAGACGATTTTCTAAATATACTCGATATTAGAATCAAGGTTTATTTAAATAATAACAAAAGCAATAATAATATTAATTTAGTTCCTAATAATTAAGATAATCTAACTCTAATATAAATACTACCTTCCTTAATAGCTAAGATTAATAAGTCTATAACCCTTAAAAGTAAGTCTTTTACCTATATACTAGCTAATAAGAGGCTAGCTTTAAGTTACCTACTTATATAAGGTTAATACTTATACTTTCTTTCTTTATAGCTTTATAAATAGGCCTAATTTATTTAAAAATATAATAAAAAGTTATTCTTTTTAGTATTATTAATACTAAAACTTTATTTTTCTATTCTAAGCCTTTCTTAGCTAATTAGAGCCTTTTTTTCCTTTTATATATATACTTTTTTCTTATTAATTTTCTTAATACTTTAATTTTTTAATAATTTACCTTTTTTAGTTTATTTTTATATTCTATTTATTCTTTTATTTATATATTTAATTTATTTAATTTAATAAGGCTTTATATTATTTAATTTAATAATACTTTTATTATAATATTAACTAGGTTATTATTATTATTAATTTATTATAATTTATAAACTTTTTTTTTATATATAATTAATAAAAAACTATAATATTAATTATTAACTATTTCTTTTTAGTTATTTTAAACTTAATAAGGTATTTATATAGTAATAAGGAGTTAATATAGATAATTATTAAGATTTTTAGGATATTTAATTCTTTTATAATTATATTAATTATTAAGCTAATAGTATATTTTATATCTATTCTTATAACTATATTATATAATTCTAATACTAAAGCTAATCTTATTATTCTTTTTAATTTTATTAAACTTTAAATAATAATATTTTTTTTAAATATAAATTTATTATTATTAATTTATTCTTTATTATTAATTATAATAATATAACCTATTTAAAAGCTTAAATCCTTATTATTAGTAAATAATTTATTAATAAAAATAAATATCTTTACTTTCTTAAAGTCTATTAAAATATAT